AATTACAGATAGAAAAATAGCTCCAAGTTCTTCTGTAAACAGTATCAGTAGTAAAACTGAAGTTTCCTTCCATTTTTATGGCTGGTTATTATTCCTGGCCACCTTAACATTCCCATGTCTCCCCAGTGATCTTGTTTCAAAGAGGCTGGGCACAGGCACAGCCCCTGCTCTGGAAAATCCTGAGCTGTCAAGCTCCCAGATCAAACAGAAGAGAGGCCTGGTAAACTCATGTGACCCTCAGAAAGGTCTGATTTATCTTCTTCCTTAAGACAGTCACTTATTTTATCACAGTTTTAGGGCTTCCTCTTACAGCTGCGCCCAACTCTCCAGTAGCTAGCTGAGACCATCAAATATTAGAGTGAAGGGATGAAGAGCAGGAGGAAAGCAAGCAAAAGTCTTGTTCTCATTGGAAAGCAGGCTAAAGACACATCTCAGAAGTGCCATTTACAGCAGGCAGAATTTTGCAAGTGTGGGTGAACTTTCTTACAGTCTTGGATCAGTAGAGTGGAAAAGAGACGTTTGCTTTCTGTTCCTGATATTGCTGTGGCATGTAGTACAAGCCAAACTGATTTATATTTCCATTCATACATGCCTAAGACAAGTACATAGTAGCTTACAGGCACCCTTCCACATTATGATCAAGATGATTTCATTACTTATAATACACTTTGAGATCCCTGGGTAAAAATGCAAAGAACTCCAACTCTGTAGTTTATAACTCAGGTCTTTACTTGCATCAGAAGAGAAAGGTGCATGCACTGCTTCAGGCCTTCTGTCTCTAAGGTTCAGATATCATCAAAGAATTGCAGAATCACAGAATCATTAAAGTTGGAACAGATCACACAGATCATCTCGACCAACCATCAACCTATCACCTGTGCCCTCTAAACCACGTCTCTCATTGCCACATCTATCCTCTTCTTGAAAACCTTCACACATGGTGACTCCACCACCTTGGGCAGCCTGTTCCAATACTTCACCACTCTTTTGGGAAGTTTTTCCTGCTGTCCAACTTGAACCTCCCTGGCTCAACTTGTGGACATTACCTCCTATCAGTAGGTACTGGGAAAACAGGCCAACATCTACCTCGCTACAACTTCCTTTCAGGTAGCTCTGGAGACCAATGAGGTCTCCCAAGCCTCCTCTTCCCTAGACTAAATAATCCGAGTTTTCTCAGACACTCTTCATAAAGACTTGTGTTTCAGACCCTGTATCAGCTTTGTTGCCCTTCTTTGGATGTACTCCAAGGCCTTGGTGTCCTTCTTGTAGTGAGGGGCCCAAAATAGAATACTGTATTTGAGGTGCAGCCTCACCAAGGATGAGTAGAGAGGGACGAGTAGAGAGCACCTCCCTTGTGCTGCTGACTACACTAGTCTGATACAAGCCAGGATGCCATTGGCCTTCTTGGCCACCTGAGCACACTGCTGGCTCATATTCAGCTGCCTGTCAACTTGCATCCTTTTCCTCCACTCAGTCTACCAGCTACTCTGCCCCAAGCCTGTAGCTATGCATGGGCTTGTTGAGACCAAAATGTAGGACTCAGCATTTGGTCTGTTAGAGCTCATACTACTGGCACAAGTTGTTTCAAATACCCTCACACTTCTTGCTCTAACTTTGAACTCCACTCTTGGCTGTGAGATTGATGAAGTATTGGACTCACTGTGAACTGGCTTGAATAAAAAGTTCAAAGGGTCATAGTGAGTAGGGACTACATCTGGCTAGTGGTCAGCCATCACTGGTGTTCCCCAGGGCTCAATCAGTTATAGTACCAGTCCTGTTCAACACTTTTATCAATGATCTGTATGCAGGAGTGGAACACAACCTAAACAAATTTGCTGATTATGCTCATCAGCAAGGTAGAAGCATCTGGATATGCTGGAGCAATGAGCCATCAGCAATGACATTCCTTTTCAACAAAGGAAAATGCTGGGCACTGCACCTGGAATGGAGCAGTGCCAGGCACACACAGACTGGGAGATAAGTGCCTGGAGAGCAGCTCAACAGATAAGGTTTTGTGAGTGCTGGTCAAAAGCAGGCTCAGCAAGAGTCAGTAGCATGTCTGGTCACCAACAGCAGGATGAGAACACAGCATAATGTGTGCCAGGGAAAGGTCAGAATGAGCGCTGGAAAACATTTCTGTACCATGAAGGTACAGAAGGAACGGACTTCCTAGTGGGGTGGTCGATGTTCCGTGCCTGTGTTTAAGAAGCATAAGGATAACACTTCTAATGATAGTGCTTTGACTTTGTATGAGCCCCAGAGCAGTCCAGCAGTTCGCCTCAAGGATCTCTGTAGGTCCCTTACAACTCAGCTATTTATTCTATTCTAACTCTGATTTCAAATTACTTAGGGTGCTAAGAAAACGCTGAAAGAGGAAGTAAATATCAGCATCTAACAACCATCCCTAATAATCTGGAATAGTTTGGTGCACCTTTTGGAAAGAGGTATCCATGATTTTTAAGTTTGTACTGACGCAGAATAGAACAGATTACCTACTCTGATGTAGAAAATGACAGAAGTGTGATTACTGATCTTTGCCAGCTTTGGAATCCGGGAAGGAAATTCTCCCTCTTCCAAAATATTTCTCTGCTTCCTTTTGTACTTAAGGGTCCTATTTCTCCATAGTTCTAAAATGCAGATGTGTCCTTTTGTACTGGATCCATTATTTCCTTCCAGTCACTTGACTGTTCTAGCAGAGCTTTTCATTGAAATTTGCCTTCACACTCTTAAGTACCAGTGTTTTTTTATATTGTTCCAGAAGTCTCAAACAGATTTGTTTGCTTTAAAAACAAAACCAAATCACATTTGAAAACAATAGTATGCCATAGCTGCTATATATCATGCTTTACAGCAATATCAAATCAACAGGAGCTGTGCTTGCCTCTAGGATATAATTGATCAGTTACCTTGCACAGAAATTGTCAAGTCAAAGAAGAAAAGGACATTGAGAGTGCTAGAGCACAAATGTCCAAGAACACTCTGCTCTTGTGAGTTTCATGAAGTCTTGTACAACAGTGATTCAAAATTCAGGAATTGCATACAAAACTAAAACATTCTTAAAGTATATATCTCCATCATCTACACAAGTAGATCATTCCAAATTGTTTTAAATACGCATGCAGCTTCCATTGATATTATCTAAGTAGAAAAGATAGTTTTAAATATGAAATGAATATAGTTACAAATTTCACTAGGAATGGCAATAAATTAATTAGGGGGTAGCAATCTCAAGAAAAAGCTATAAAACAGTCTGCACCTGAATGTGACAGTAACAACTGGCCCAAAGATATTTTTATGTGCTCAAACTCCAATATTTCTGAAATTCTAGACCTTAAGATGCTTTTTCCCAATTATGGAATATTAATTAAATGCCTTTTTACTGGTCATGATCTCTCAATGAAGGGCTTTATCAAAGTGCCCTGTGAATATCAAGTGACAACCTGATCAAATTTTGGACTCATCACCACCATACTGACTGACTACATCTTGTTAAATACGTGCATTCAAAATCTGGAAACAGAATTTCATCATAAATAAACAGAAAACTGCTCTGACACAATTTTGCTAAATTGGAACAACAGCTCTTTTCCTCTCTTTTATTTAAAAAACACAAAACTCATCTTTAGTGACTGAAATGCCTTGTTTCACTCTCTGATTTCAAGCATCGTTTTCAGAGAAAGAGATGAAGCTCTCAACTTTAAAATATAAATTGCCACTTTGCAAAGACTACTTCAGTTAAATGGACTTAAAAATGGCAGATGTAAATCATGGCTGTTTTCATGGAAATGCTGGTTTATCTTTAATGCTGCACTGTCGGTAAGTAGCCTTACTGTAAATGGACACAGTAAAATGCAAGAACATAGCTATAATTACTTCAATGTATTCAGTATTTTAAATTGATCAAATTACGTGCATTGATTTTTAAAAATTCACCTTAAGAAGTAGGGAAGGAATGTATAAGAAAAAATAAACATCACTTCCATCTTCATAGTGGAATTGATTATGTGTTATAGATGGGTTATGCTCTAGGACTATAAAAAATTACAGGTGACTTTGGTTATTAGAGAAGCTATCAGTCAGTCTGGATTATTGACATATTTTTGTGTCGTGGAGCTTCAAATATCTCTCTGTTTTCTTTTTTCAGCCTCAAAATCACAGCATTCAGAGTTATCTGAAGGAAGGTCACAAGGTTGAAAACAGGAACAAGCTATTCCTGTACCTGTGATTCTATCGCAAAGGATTTCTTGTTATCCAGCAGAAAAGTTTAACTCTCCTCTTCTATTAGTTTTTCTTAAGAGCAATTATTATCAAGAGATAAAATTCAATCTAAAAATTCAGAAACTGTTCTGCAATGATCAGAGATTATTTTATACTCTTCTTTTGATGACCAAGCACAATTAGCAAAAGGATTCATGGCAAGACAGGAAATTCTGAGAACAGAAGTGAGGGTCTATCGGGAGACCTGCAGACTAAATTAAAGCAATTTAAAAAGAGTGACACACTTCATCTTCAATCCAAGTACATATCATAACTAATACCAAAGGTGGCTTAGATAAAGAAAGAAAAAACAACCTATCAACATTATCATTTCCAGTGAGACAATACTCTATCCTTAAGACATGACTGTGGTCTTTCCACATGATTCCCATCTCCTTCAATACTCTGAATGGACAGTGATAATTGAACAAGGAATTATTATTTGGCCTTACTTTTATAATTCAGTATGAAAGTCTTGTTTACTGCATACAGAGCCTGAATTGAACAATGAATTATTAATCTGCTTATGGGTTTTCTTACAGTGCTCATCACAGCAATACCAGAAGGCATTGCAAATATTATATGATTCATTTTCACATCATCTTTAAGAGATGAAGTCAAAGATATCATTCTATACCTGTTATGTTACAGAAAGGGACCATGACACAGAGATATTAAAGCTTCTCATAAATCCACATGTACAAACAGAGATTTGTCAGGCCAAGTCTCTTCAAAATACTTACATTTCTCACGCCAGTCAAGATAGCTTCAGTAGCAGACATAGATCATAACCCAGGTCACAAAGCAAGACCCTGAAAAAGGAGGAATAGAATCAGGATCCCCTAAAAGCATTCTGTTTTTAAACTACACTGCACATACTATGTGATGAGACAAATATGATTAAGGAAAGTGAACAAGCAGTTACATTGCACCACTATAAAAGAAGGTAAACAGCAAAAACCCAAATACAGCCAAAGAGACACTTAAGCACAATAAGGATTCATGCCACACTGCTTTCAGAGAATGCCACTTTTGCAATCTTCACCACAAGAACATAGCTAAGATTGCTTAGCTTCTGTTTCTTTCATCTCCCTCAGCCAGATGAGCTGCTGTGGCAACAGGAAGAGGGAACACCATCGTGTGCTCATTTCAGACATCAATCAAAGTGGGAAGAATCTCAGAAGCTCCAAAGGGGAAAAAGTAAAGTGACAATAAATGGCAGAATGGATAAATGCTCCAGAGCACTGTCCAGAGAGGTTGTGGATGGCCCGTCCCTGGCAGCATTCAAGGCCAGGCTGGATGGGGCTTTGAGCAACCTGGTCTAGAAGGAGGTATCCTTGCCTGTAGCAGGGGGTTGGAACTGAGTGATCTTAAAGTTCCTTCCAACGCAAACCATCCTATGATTCCAGGCTTCAGCCTCAACATAGGGCCAGAAGCAAGCCAAGAGAATACACTATCAGAGATTAAAAAGACTTGGAACTGGGTAATGTTAAGCAATAGAGAGCACCTTTAATCTTTCCCTGTTAGATGTAATTCACCCAAATACATCTAAAATCGTTACAAATAAATCAAAATGTCTACATCATAAAACTACATGTTTATACAGTTTCTATTATGACAATTTCTTCCACAATTTGACCCTTTCCCAGTGTCTAAAAACTGACAAAACTGTGCATGCAGCCTGTCTGGCATCTAACTCAGTCTACTGATAAAAAATGACTGTCTTAAGACAGGATTTAGCTTTCTTAACTACAAGCAAAAACAGTTCCAAACTGTGTTAAACTTTCCTAAGGAGCAGTCATGAAGGCAGTACTGCCTTGGTGGAAAAAGTCCTTTCAGAATTACTCTACTATGAAACCAGAAGGCTTTCTGCTTCAATTCCAGTATTCACAGTATTTCCATGAGAAACACAGATTAATATAGCTTTACCATGTGCAGGTCAGCACATACGTTATGTTCGGCAGCTGTAACCAAACAGGCTGCTCCTCATAGCCAAACACTGATCTATTTTTTTGGAAGTGACCCAGAATATGTTCCCAGTTCTGCAAGAGGACTCTTAAAGGCCATGAACATGTTATTGTAAGATTCATTTGCAACGCCATCAAAATTCTGACTCTGTCGCTGCAACTCATTTCCAATTGATAGAGCAAGGAAATACAGGTCGGTCCCACACTGACTTATGCAGTATTTTATTCCTTAGCACCAGTTTTTCCTCACTGCTTTCCAGAAAGTCTGGAAAGCCTCCTCCAAATTCAGTAACGCTCCTGTATTCCTTGCAAATCCAGACGCTCTTTTCATCTTCACAGGGCTCCCCACATCCATTGATCTGACTAATAGAATTCATCAGTAACAGCAGCAGCATGGCAAAGCTCCGTCTTCCTTCTTTATCATTATCCCCCAACCACAAGGTGCAACTGCACCAGACAACAGACTAGTTATGCACCTTCCCTCTCAATTCTTTACTATGTCTTCTGCCTACACACAGGAGAAAAACGTCTCCTGCCAGACCCTGATTTGGGTCACGCCATCCATACATCTGCTGGTAGTCAGCTTCAAGACAAACACTCCAGACAGTCTCAAGAGCCTACCTTAAATAGTCACAAAAATAGTCTCCTACTTTTATTTGCTATAATTTGCTTGACTTGGGTGCTCCATTTTCTAACAGCCACTGGATTTAAAGAAGCTGGGTTTGAAGGACTGGAGTTTATAGGACGTGGAGTTTATAGGCCTGATGCCAAAGCTGTGTGAAGGGAAAACACCTTTACAATCTTGAGCTCAGGACTTGGGCTCATGTATGAATCTCCACAGTTCTTATCACTCACAGTAGCTATATTTTCATATGTAATTTTCTTCCGTTTCTCTTATAAGTTACACTAAGCCAAAAAACACTTTGGCTTTACTAGATTAGAAAGAAGAAGAAAAAAAAAAGTATTTGGCTGGGGAAACAAGCTTATCTCAAAAATTCAGGTCAGCCTCTCCTGAACAGAACACACCAATCTGAGCTCCTTGCATGCTTTAGCCTTGTTAGCAGACCTAGGGAATATTTCTAACACTACTGACTTTCTACATTTGTTTCAGGAGCAGAGTAAAAATGCCATACGCTGTCAGTAAAGAAGGAAGAAACCCAAACCTAAGGATCTCTCCCCCCAACCTTAGAAGGACAATGTGGAAACTGCAGCAGCAAAACTCACAGGCTTTACGAGAAGACTTAAAATCCCCTAGACAAAGCCTACACTTAGCCTGAGAGAGAAGAGGAAGGTGAAGCAGTTTAACCTTCAGTGGGCAAGCTGAGAACCAGGAGGTATTTCTAATCGATGGCACAGTCAAAAAACACATCAGCAAATACCTGTATCTGTGTATGAAACACCAGCTAGTTTAGTACAATCAGAGACAAACTTGGCAGCACTTGATGGCTATAAGTCAACATAAAAAATCTTTCATAATTATGCTAAAAATCTTCATTTACCATCACTTTGTGTTGACCTGCATCAGATAAAAGAAGACTGCTAAAATTCAAATAACTGGTAGGTGTGAAAATTTACTATTTTGTAAACATTGAATACAACTTAATTGATCTACCGTGCACAAGCATTCAGCATTGAAAAATCATTTCCTAGCATACTCTTACCTTGACAGCAGCACTTGCCCCATTAAAAATGTACATACATATTCCTTTCAATATAAGTTATATATGTCCGATTTTTAGACTGTACATACCATTATACAATGCAATTTAACATGTTTTTGGGGGGACAGACAGCAAAACTGGTAAGAAATAAAGGATCTTTTCTTTGCATCTACCTCAATTTTAAAGGCTTTTTTGGGAATTAAAAAAAAAGCTATAATATTTTCTATTTTTTCATTTTGATTTATCCATAAGAAAACAATTTCGTCACTGGGCTATTAAATGAAATGTTATAGGCAGTTAAGAAGATTATATTTCAAGATTTTTAATAAACTATTTTAAAAACTCTTAATATTCTATAACTACATGTCTTCATTTGTTGCTAATTTTGAATACAATAAATCTGAAATTGAATTTTACAATGGAGTGTAAGCTTAGGCCCCATGGCAATTAGGTTTGGAGAGCTGAGGAAACTTCACTATTCCCCTTCCAGCTGCTAGCAGATCACTGATGGCTCCCTCAAGGTGGATTCAGGAGCACCATCAACACACTACTAAAACGGCTGCAAAATCTGATACCCTCTTTTGCAGCCTATTTTCCTCAGGCCAAACTGCAGAGCTTACACATGGAAGAAGCTACGGCAAGGGAGATTTCAAGCTACGGCAGGGGAGATTCAGGCTGGACATGAGGAAGTATTACTTTCCAGAAAGGGTGGTCAGGCACTGGAATGGATGCCCAGGGAGGTGGTGGAGTCACCGAGCCTGGGGGTGTTCAAGGAAAGACTGGATGTTGTGTTGAGGGACATGGTTTAGTAGGAGCTATTGGGAATAGGTGAACGGTTGGACTGGGTGATCTTTTAGGTCTTTTCCAACCTTGGTGATTCTATGATTCTATGATTCTAAGGGCAGAAGAGAACTAAAAGGGAGACTTCTAGAAGTCTGCCTTGCATAAAAAGTAAAATTCTAAGTGCAGTGAGTTGTCATTTTCACACAGTACAGAAATTGTATTTTACTATAAATCTTTTTCTAAAACTTCAAGTGCTCATAATTAACTTTCCTTTCAATAAAACAAGGTTCTAAAGAATTCTTCTCCAGAAGTATCACAGGTACTACTCGATCTCAAGAGACTCTGGTCCCAGGCTTCTGCAGAACACTCCTTATGTTTTGTTTTATTTTTCAAAGTGACTGATTAGAAAGAAGCTGGAGATGTGCCAGGTACTCTATTCAAAACACCTTGAAACAAACTGTATTGCTCTCTATATTTGGAAACCATAAAATAAGATGCAAAACTGAAACCATATACTTACAAAATCTACGTTCGGGCCTCATTGTTTTCAAAGGAAAAAAAACACAGATAAACTGCAAGGATAGCATATGGTTTGGACATGAACGTGGTTTGCATCTGTTTCTGGTGAATTACTTCAAACTTTACCCAGAGTGGAGTTTCAGAGTCACAGAGACGTGGGTTAAATAAATGAGCCATGTTTCACAGCTCTGACCATGGCCACAGAGCTAAAAATCATCAAACCCAACCCACAGGTCTTTCAGCCTTGCAGCAATGCTTTTCTGGGCTGCTCAGCATATGAGGCAGGAAGGCAGTCACTGAAGGAGATGGGTCTTTCCCTGCTTCTCATCAGTTTGCTGTTAGCCTAAATTCAGTCCTCTGCACTCACTGGGTCCCACTCCTCTTATTAGGAAAGCCCAGCTGATGGCACAGACTTGCTAAGCTTATTGGTGTAACAGAGGCCAGGCTCACTTAGGCCTTTCTGAATGAACCTTTTAAGCCCATCAGTCACAATGAATTTCATGCATACATCTTTCAAAACTAGCAAGAACAATTCTTTGTGAAGAACTCTGCCCATTTTTCTAACATCAATGTAAAAAAAAAAAAACCAAAAACACTTTTTTTCTCAAAAAAGAAAGAAAAAAGGAAAACGAATCCATCTATTAAAGCATCATGAAGTTGAAAATGATAAAACTGTATCAGAGCAGATTTCCAGAATGTCATGCCCTAACTTTGCTTATTTCCCTTCACTTTACCTAAGTTACAAGTAGCACTAATGAACACTCAGTAAAGGGCATGTTTGCAAACTAGTTCTACTATTAACCTGTGTTAAGGATTGTTACAAGGCTGTAACTTCGCATCTCCACAGCTTAATCTTCCATTTTCAGCATAAACAGAAGAGTA